AGGATTTAGCTCAGTGGCAAAAGCGCCTGCCTGGCAAGCACAAGGTTGTGAGTTCGATTCCTGGTACCAGAAGAAAAAAAAAGCAATCGTGTTGCTGGGCGTGGTGGCACACACCTGTAATCCCAGCACTTGGGAGGCTGAGGCAGGAGGATCGTTGTGAGTTCAAGACCAGCCTGGGCTATAAAGTGAGCTCATGGCCAGCCTGAACTGCATATCAAGACCCTGTCCCAAAAAGACCAAAAAAAAAAAAAAAAAAAGTTAAAGGGTGTAAACCTGTTAGGCAGAAATAAGCTCTTGGTGGATGGGTTGGGTTTACTATTCCCCTTGGTTTCTCTGTCCATCCCCCACCCTCAGTACTAGGGCTCAAACCCAGAAGCACACTGTCACTGAACAACATCCAGCCCTTTTCATTTTGTATCTTGAGACAGGATCTTGCTAAGTTGATCAGGGTGGCTTGAATTTGTGGCCCTCCTTTCTTGGACTCCCAAATAGTTGGGATTATAGGTGTGTGCCTCTGCACCTGACCATGTTTTTTGTTCTTTCCCTGTTAGTTGAATCATGTTTGCTATGCCATGTTTTGAGTATCTGAGTAGGTTAGTTTACAAATCTAACATGTTTGTAACAAGCTTTATAGATCTCCCACTTTTAAGTTAGAATCCATTGACTGAGTTCTTTGTTGCTTCCGTTTACTTTTAGCTACTTCGAAGAAGTACATAGTCTTTTGGGGTCCTGTATCACATCTTTGAATTTAGTTTTGAAGGGCTAGTAGTGCAAAAACGTAGTTTATTTAAACTGAACAGGCATTTGTGAGTGCTCCAAACAAGGTGTGGAGTATCACAGTGAGTTTGAGGCAAGTCCAGCCCAAACTATATAGTATGAACCTGACTCAAAAACAAAAAGTTTCAGTTACCTGCTATTTTGTTGTTGGAGATAAAGAACCAGTGAAATGCATGCCTCTAATGCCCACTACTTGGGAGGCTAAGGCAGTAAGATCACAAATTCATGCCCAGCCTGGGCAAGTCGTTAGCAAAATTGCATCTCAAAATAAAAAAGGTTGGGGATGTAGCTCTGTGGTAGGGTGTCCCTGAGTTTAATACCCACTAACCTCCTTGCCCCCTGGAAAAGCTCCTCTTCCCATTTCAACTTTAATTTTAATTTTATGTCTGTGTATATTAACATAACTTTGGGGTGGGAGGGCGTTGAGACAGGTCTCACTTTCTACTTCAGGCTGGCCTTGAAATCACTTTGTAGCCAAGGCTGGCCTCGAACTCACAGTGGTCTTCCTGTCTCAGCCTCCCAAATGCTGGGATTACAGGTGTGTGCCACCATGCCTGACCCAGCAACCCACTTTAGACAAGCATAAGAATATCTGGAAAGAATTAAAAGAAACTGTTAATATGGCTGTGTCAGGGAAATAAGTGAAATGGTAATAGGGAAGTGATTCAGGTATTATAGGCAAGCACCACCATGCCCAGCTTCATCTGTGTATACTAATAATAAACTCCAAAGAACTTCTGGGAGTTTCTCATTCTTATTTTTGAACGTACACTTACCTCTTATGTTTATTTTTTTTGGAGACAGGGTCTCTGTGTAGTACATGCTGGCTTTAAACTCACTGTGTACCCAACGCTGGTCTTGAACTCACAGCAGCCCTGCTGGCTCAGCCTCCTAAGTACTGGTATTATAGATGTGTGCCACCACACCCAGCTACATTTAGACATTTAGAATTTTAAGAAAGCACTCCTTTTAACCTTAGGGCAGTTAGAATTTTCTCTACCACCATACTTTCTTCTGGAGTAATTGAGGTTTTAAAAATGGATTTTAGTCTGGGCATGGTAGCACATGCCTATAAAGCCAGCACTTGGGAAACTGAGGCAAAAGGATTCCCGTGAGTTGAGGTCAGCCTGGGTTTCATAGTGAGACCCTGTTTTAGGCCAGCCTGGGCAACATAGCAAGACTTCATGGATGGATTCATGGATGGACGGATGGATGGATTCATGGATGGATAGGAGAGGGAGGAGGGGAAAGGGGAGGACAGGAGGAAGGAAGGAAGGAAAAAAGTATATTAGCTTTTTGTTGCTGGAATGAAATACTTGACGTATACAACTTAAAGGAGAAAATGCTTTATTTTGGCTCGTGCTTTCATAGAGTTCAGTCCATGATCTCCTGGCTCAAAGGCACATCATGGTGGAGTGTAGCTGAAGAGAGCTTTTCAGCCCATCATAGCCAGAATGCAGAGAATAGGAAGAAATTCAGAGAGAGAGAAGAAAATACGCCTCCATCACCTGCCTCGTCCATGCAGGCCCCACTGAATGTACTTTAGGAGGTGGGGCCTGGCTGGAAGAGGTGAGACAGGTCATCTACAGATGACTGTTGTCCCTATGATCCATTTGCCTTCCAGAAGCCCTACCTCTGAACACATGAACTTTAGGGGGGCATTTTTTATCTAAATCACAACTGTAAGTAAAGAGTTAAAGTACAATAATACAGTGAGACCTTGCCAATAAGTAAAAATAAATAATAGTTTAAGTGAGCCAGGCATGATGGCACGTACCTGAAATTGCACCACTTGGGAGGCTGAGGCAATATTACCATGATTGTGAGTACGTCCTAGACTACATAGCAAGACCCTGTCTCAACAAAACAAACCTTCCCCCACCAAAAATGAGTAAGCACTTACATACTATGGCTGTAACTTTTGCAGTTTGAAGTACAACAACAAAACTAGAATAGATTTTTTTTTCCTTCACAGTTTTATAAAAGATTTGCTTTTACCATAGACCTTAGCACCCGCATATGATTTTTTGATTTTTTTTTCTTAAAATAATTCAAGAAATTTTTTTTTTTTGCTTAAAGGAATACTGAATGATTTCTCTTTAGCATATCTGAATTGTCAGCGTCCTTCCTCTCCTGTTCTGGGGGCATTGTTAAGTAAAGTAAGGGTTACTTGAACACAAGCATGCAGTACCTTGACAGTCTTCCTGATAATCAAGATGGCTACTAAGTGACTAACAAGCTGGTAGCACTTACAGTAGGAGGGACAAAATGACGGTTCACCTTTTGGATAGCATGGAGCAGGACAGTGGAGGTTTCTTCACACTGCTCTGAGGAATTTGCAATTCAAAACTTAGGAATTTTTTTCTTTTTTGAAAGAGGGTTTCACTGTACAGTCCAGGCTGGCCTTGAACTCATTTTATAGCCCAGGCTGTCCTCGAACTCACAGCAATCCTCCTGCCTCACCCTCTCGAGTGCTGGGATTACTGGAATGCGCCACCACACCTGGCCTTAAAACTTATGAATTGTTTCTTTCTGGAATTTTCCACTTAGTATTTTCAGATCTTGGTTATAGTTAACCAAGTAACTGAAACTGTAGAAAGCAAAACCACAGATAAAAGGAGAGGGAGACACTAGTTGGTTGGGAATGTTCTGCAGTAGAAGAGTGCAGATCTGTAGAGAATGTATGACTCAGACAGTAATTCTCTATCTGCCTAGTGTTTCAACAGCTTGCTTGAGGCTTGACTGTTTAGTCTTTGACACCCCAGGGTCACTCATGGGGCTCTAGAGCTCCCTGACCATGAACATAGAAAGTAATGGTTTGTAAACTATAGAGCCCTAAATGAATGCTAGCTGATAAAAACAGCAATAAGATTGTTGATACATAGTATCATTACTAAGATTCCCAGCTATATATAGATTTGTCATTTTTGGTAGTATCCTTTGGAGAAGGTATGGTATTAGGGATTGAATCCAGCACCTTTACATTAACCTACATTTCCAGACTGCTCTTCCCTTCCTTCTCTTCCTCCTCCTTCCCTTTTTTCCTTCCTTGTTTTGAGACAGGGTCTTGCTAAATTGGTCAGGCTGGGCTTGAGCATGTAATCCTCCTGCCTCGTCCTCCTAAAGTGCTGAGATTACAGACATGTACTACCACAGCCTGTGTCCTCTTTATCATTTTTATTTTATCATATTTATTATATGTCCAAGGTAGTAAAAATGGTTATTTTTCCTTCTGTTTCTGTGTACCATATTTGGATATATAACTCTAAAAAAGAAAAAATATTTATTATTTGGAGAGGTAAATTTGCAGTTGAATTTTTGACAAATAGTATAATAATGAGCAACAGGAAAAGCATTCAAGGAGATTTAGACAACAATTATGTGAAGAAAAGCAGTAATGTTAGATGAAATGAGATCAAAGGCAGTAGTAGGGCTGGGGATATACCTCAGTGGCATAAGCGCCTGTCTGGCAAGTGCAAGGTCCTGAGTTCAATTCCTGGTACCAAAAAAAGGCAGTAGTAGCTTTTAAGAAGGATAGGTGACCAGTAAGAGAGAACTATATTATGGAGACATCAATTAGATAAAATGACCAAAAGAAATATGAAAACTAACCAATCCATTTGGTAAAGTATTAGAGACGGAGAGAATTACCACTAACTTTGTTTTTTGGTATTTCAGGGGCTGCTCGGATGGGGTTATTACTTGATAATGCTTCCATTCCGGTTTACCTATTACACAATACTTGATATATTTAGGTATGTACCTCTGTATTTATGTATTAATAGCCACAGAGTAGATTTTGGAGCTGAAACTTTGACCAGAATAAGTTTCATGCACTGATCAATTCTGACTTGCCAACCTGTCTTCAGATTGAATATTCTTTTAGAACTATCTTTTTCTGTAATATAAAAATATTTTAAGCATATTAGCACGTGTTATAAGATGGAATTGTTTTAAATTAGTCTTGCCTGTTATTTGCAAGAGTCAATTCCCCCTACATTTATGTTATCTCTGTCTTTCCTCCACCATGTTTGTCACCTCTACATTCCTAATCTCCACATGCTTATCTGTCTAACCACCATTGTCTCCTAACTTCCCACTCCTTAGAACTTTTACCCTAAACCACTTCTTTTCCATCTGAATACTCACAGTCCCATTAAATTCTCTTACTCTCAGTTATCCACATTGCCCTAGATTTCTCCCTCAGGCGCATCTCTAGACACCCTGTTGTGTACATTTCCCTCTGCCCTGGCAACCCCTATGCTGCTAACCCTGGAATCATTTCAGATATATACCTACTTGCTTCATACCTTCACTTTCTAGCTTCCTTCATGTACCATTCAAATAGCTTCTCATTGGAAGCTACAGAGGGTTCAAGGCGAGAAAATGTTCAGAGGAGCCTGACTTCATGGCCAATCAGGCTTGGGTTATTTGATTTAGAGCCACACTGAGGCTTTTTGGGGAAGTAAAATGTCAGTGGGCATCCAGGCCAGCAGATGGAGCTAACTAAAGATGTGATCTGTGCCTTCAATTTAGCACAGTCTGCACCTACCTCTAAGTACAAGGCAGCCTTTGCGCTCTAAGTAGTGGAGGCTTGGAAGTGAGAACCTAGCAGTTACAGAAGTTCAAGGCTGAAATAATACTTTTCACTGCCTCTTCGTTGGCTTCCTTGCTTTGGTAAAGTTCTTAATGGCACTAGTTACTTGCTTAGTGCTCTATTCGGTACATTAAAAACCTTTCAAGCGTAGTGAAGACTGAATTGATAGCTCTTCCAAAATTGGCTTACAAATAGATTGTAGTGAGAAACAAGTAAATTGAAACCTTTAGGCATTCCTCAAAATTTGAAGCCTTTAGTCATTCCTGAAAATTTAAGGAGATAGTCCTAGACAGAAAGTTGTCAGATTGTCACTCTTGTGAAAAAGATTTCTAGCTATTCTCCCATATCTTCTGCTTCTGTACTTGAAGTTTTGTTCTGGAATATTTGTTAGTGAATTTGATTTAATTACTCAAGAAATGCCAAGTATAATTGTGTATACATGGGGAATTTGTTGAGAGGTTAATGAACTGGCTGAAGATTTTGTAAGGAAAATGTCATAGTTTAGATACCTTTTCTGTGCTGAAAATTCTTTCAAGTAAATGAGTATTTTTTGCTTTCTTTGGAAAAATATGCATGGCATGTATTACTAATTTCAATACAGTTATATCATTTATTTAATGTTATGTAGCACACTGACCTCTGCCCCCTTGCCTACCATGGACACCCAAAGCATAAAGAAGTGATGCTATGCAGATATGGCAGAATGGACTCTTTAGGAATAGATATTTGGCCTGGCGGAGTGGTACACGCCTGTAATCCCAGAACTTGGAACTGAGACATGAGGATCACCATGAGTACAAGGCCAGCCTGCACTACAGAGTGAGACCCTGTCTTAAAAAAAAAAAAAAAAAATAGATATTTGATACCATCAGGTGATTCTTCCTCTGTCACTGCTCCAAATCTGCTAGTGTATCCTGGATTCTTTTATAACTTCCTTCATGGATACTATATTCTAAGTGATTAAGCTAAATTTACTTGCCATTTTAAAGACCAAGTATATCATGACCACAAGTTCAGGTTTGAAGTTTGTATCTGTAATTTCAATAGTTTGGGTAGTATGAACTAAAAATTCAAAATCCCAGGAGAACAGAAAGGAGAGGGACAGAGGCACATGGACAACCAGAAAGATCTCTCTTGTAAAGCAGCATTGTCCCGTAAAACACTGTGTGGTGATGGGAATGTTCCATCTCTCCACCTCAGCCCTTCAAACACACAATTCGTTTAGCCTAGTGTTGGAATTTATAATCCTAGTAGTGTGCATTCTTCTTAAACAGGCAATGGAACAACACTTGCAGCTTTGCAGCTTTTGAGTCAGAATCTACTCTCAGGTTTGATGGTCCTTTCACAGACCGGTTTATCTCCCTTTGCTGCCATGCCACTGGCTCTCTCATAGGAATCTGTGCAAACTGGCCCTCTCCATATGCACTACAGTAAGCTGGATTTATGTGATATTTATTCCTTCCTCCCCAGGTTTGCTCTTCGTTTTATACGGCCTGACCCTCGCAGCCGGGTCACTGACCCTGTTGGGGACATTGTTTCATTTATGCACTCTTTTGAAGAGAAATATGGGAGGGCACACCCTGTCTTCTACCAGGGAACGTACAGCCAGGTCAGTGCCGCAAACTGTATAGATGCCAACTTACTGTTGTGATTCTGTTCTTAAAGGAAAGCATAGCCCAGCACTGATCGTGTCATTCTTTCATTCAGAAACCTTAAATAACTCTTCCCTGCTATGGAGGCAGGGGAGGCGGGTGGGCACATGACAAAACCTTTTAGCTGGGCTCTACTTGATCTAATCCTGTCTTTTGAGTCTTTTCTTTATAACTTATTTCCCAGTACCCTCGGTTCCAGTTAAGCCCTTCCCTCAATGCTGTACTTCCTACCTCTGTACCTTTGCTTTTGCTCTTCCCTCCACCTAGAATGCCTTTCTCACATTTTGACTAATTAGAATCTTGTCCATCCTTCAACCAGCTCATGTCAACTCCTTTTCTAACCATTACGGTTATTGTACCTTATCCTGCACTACCTTGCAATCTAAAATATTTATCTTTTTGTTCTTTCATAGCTTTTTTTTATAGCAACTTCCATTCCTCCTTATAGTTATTTGTGTCCATGTCTTATCTGCTTTACCAGCCTGTACATGTCTTGAAGGCAAAAGTCTAAATCTTTTCTTATCCCTTACAGAGTTGAATAAGGATATAGACTATTACAGACTTGAGATGGCTCATTCAGTCAACCTAACCGCACAAACTTTTGGCAATCACCTCTCAGGAGGAAAACAGATTTCTCTAGGTGTTAGGTATATTTCTACTTTGTTACAGAAAAATAGAGAATGAACACTGTGCACATTGGCAAAAAAGGCTGATTCTATTCTGCAGCCTCCAGGATTCCTGAGTCTTTCTGGACGAAGAGAAAAATACTTATATTTGTTTCTGCTTTGGTTTTCCCATATCTGCTTTCTCTCTCTAATTTTTTTTTTATTTTAAAGAGAATTTAAAAACATTAGAAACGATACAGAATTTCACAAAACAAGATGATAGTTTATCTCACAATCACTGTCCTCATTGGCTGCTGCCACCCTGCTCAACAAATATATAAAGTACCTACTACATGACATTAAGACATTTGTGCTTGAGCTGGGGATATAGCTCAGCAGCACAGTGCCTACTTGGTAAGCACAAGGTCCTGAGTTCAATTCCCAGAACCGCCTCCCTAAAAAAAAAGACACATGCTAGAGATACAGAGATGAGTAAGATAAGCACCTCTTATGTACCCTCTTTGCCCTGATTTTGAGGGTGACTACCATTGGTCATTCAGAAGTGTTAAATGTAAGATGGCTCAGGAACATGCCCATGCAGAAGTAGACACGAGAGTCTGAAAACACTGGCTTTGTTTTTGGATATCTTCTAAACCCTATGCTCCTTAGAATGCCTTTGGGTCCTATAGTCTATCATTCCTGCTTGGTATGTGGCCTGGAATCTGGTTCATCTTCACAGTTACTTATTTACAGGAAATTGTAGCTGTGAAGTAGCAGAATGCTCACCTTTCTTTTTACGTGGTCAAATTCTCCTGCCTTTGTCTTCCTTAGACTAGGAACATCTGGCATTTCTGTGATTTATTGGGGACCTGTATATGTCAGCTTGTCTATTCTTATGTACCTGATGCAATTTAAATCCTAACAACTCTAAAATAATTTAATTCATAAAGTTTGTTAGCATGAACTTTGTCTAGTGAGAAAAATGCCAGGGGTCTGAAGAAGTTTTCTGGTTTCTTGCTCACCTTTTTTTCTATTTCTCTTTTTGTTCCTAAATACATAACTGTGTCTGTTAGGACCCTTAGCCTAAGTAAGAGCTCAGAGCAGTCTTTTAGTAACTTGTGGCCTTCTGTTTCTCACAGGCACTTAATGATGCCAAGCGAGAGCTTCGCTTTCTTCTGGTTTATCTTCATGGAGATGACCACCAGGACTCCGATGAGTTTTGTCGGTAAATTAATCATTTCTCCCTCTCTCTCTGTCTCCGTCTCTCCTTCTGTCTCTGTCTCTCCCTCTGTCTGTCTGTCTGTCTGTCTGCCCATCTCTCTCTTTTTAAGATAGGGTCTCACTATGCAGTTCAGGCTGGCCTTTAACTTACTATGTAGCTCAGGATGTCCTCAAGCTCACAGAGATCCTCCTGTCTCAGCCACTGGAGTGCTGGGATTTTAAGCATGTGCTACCAGGCCTGGCATTTTTTCTCATTTTTGTTTTGTTTGTTTTTGACACAGGGTCTCACTATGTAGTACAGGCTCGCCTTGAAAACTCTATGTAGCCCAGGCTGGCCTTGAACTCATAGAGATCCTCCTGCCTCAGCCTCCTGAGTGCTGGGAGTACAGGTGTGCGCCACCATGCCCAGACCTTTCTCTTTTCTACCTTTTCTGACATTTTATAGTCAGCAAGTTGTTAATATCCTTTTCATTCCATTTCCACAGCAATACACTCTGTGCACCTGAAGTTATTTCACTAATAAATACTAGGATGCTCTTCTGGGCATGTTCTACAAACAAGCCTGAAGGATATAGGGGTAAGTTGTGTTTCTTTTGCCACATTGAGATTATCAGAATGTCTTAGAAAGGTCTTTTTACATGACTATGTCTGTGATAGATACGATGCTAGTTGTAGTTTCTGTATTACTCAGTCTTCTCAACAGCCCTAAAAGATGAGGATTATGTTACCTCTATTTTATGGTTTAGGAAACAGGCTCAGAGAGTTTAAGCCACAAGCCTGAAATTACACAGTTAGCAAATTTTGGAGCAAGGTTAGGTCTGATAGACCTAAAAGCTCATTCTTTATAGTTAACCATTGCCAGAGACTGTTTTATTTTTAAAACAGTCTAGCAGCTTGCCTTTGATCTTAATGGGCTTTTTCCTGAAGAGTTTATTCTCCTCATCAGCAGTTTTAACCGAGCTTCTTATTTGAGTACTCTGAGTGCTGATACAGATTCAGAAAGTTCAGTTCTTTGCTGATAATAACTCTTAATTGGAGATAAGTATTTTTAGAAATCATTAAAAGATACAAAGATGTCCAGTGAGGATGTCCTTTTGCAGCTACTTGTGTCCAGCACCCCAGAATGTGGGCTGGCATGCCTAGCATATTGAAGATCTTGAGAGCCAAAGATGCAGCAGGTGTTTGCCCTGCATCCTGGAATCTAAAACTTTGCCCTTACTTGTTTGTTAAACATTTAAGTTCCTGCAGCATGCAGTTTGTCATTCAAATAAGGTTTTGAGGGGTTGGGGGTATTGAAAGAAAAAAACTTAAGAATTAATTTTTCTTTTCCTTTTTTGGGGGGCTTCTTTCTGAGACAGGTTTCGCTGTGCAGTTCAGGCAGCCTTGAACTCACTTTGTAGTCCAGGCTGGCCTCTAACTCACAGTGATCCTCCCCCCTCAGCCTTCCCATGTGCTGGGATTATAGGGGTGCGCCACCTTGCCTAGCTTTAAGAATAATTTCTATAGAAATTTATAAAATCTCTCTTTCACAGCATAAGGAACAACTTTCTGGGTCCTTTGGAGCAGAAAGATATGCTTTTCAAGGATAGCAGTAGACATGGAAAAAGTTAAGGGAAGGATTAGGCAACAAGAAGAAAAGACAAAAAAGTAATGGAAGCGATCATCATCTGCAGCATCAGGCTGAGACCTGCAACTTCGTCCCTTTTTAAGTTTGACCCCTCTCATATAGGGAGAACTATGCTAAACAGTAGCCAGCTTCTTTGTCAGTCCTTTTCCTAACACTACATAGACTTTATCTTTGAACTGTGCAACTCTCCCAGCAGCATAACAACTATACCCCAGAAAAGCCTGTCCTATTCTAATTAAGCACCTAGGTTTAGGGACACATGTGTAATAAAGGAGCTAAAAAACAGATATGCAGAGAATAAACAATGCCTCCCCTTCTTTCCCAGCTGGGATTAAAGCAGTTCTTTCTCTCGCTTTTGGGCAGGAGTCGCGCTAATCTTCTGTATATCATTCCAGTTTTAGTATATGTGCTGCCAAAGCAAGCACATCCTCTCTCCTTAGGGAAAGTCTAAGGGGTGACCCTTTCATCCTCAAGTTCTGCTCTTGATTTCTTGTCTTTTTGTCAGTCTCACAGGCTTTACGAGAGAATACCTATCCATTCCTGGCGATGATTATGCTGAAGGATCGGAGGATGACTGTGGTGGGACGGTTAGAAGGCCTCATTCAACCTGATGACCTTATTAACCAGCTGACATTTATTATGGATGCAAACCAGACATACCTGGTGTCAGAACGACTAGAAAGGTACAAGGGAGTTTCTTTCTGAAAGGAAGAGACCAGTCGTGTATTTGGAGAGTTGATCTGAGGTTCCACAAACGCTGGCTTCTTTCCCCTCTGCCCTTTTTTTTTTTTTTTTTTTTCCTTTCTTTCCCTATCTTAGGCAACTTTCAAAGCTTTGCTCACTAGGTATCCAATATTGCATATTTTGACCTAAATTATTCTACATCAAATCATCCCTTCTTTTTTTTTTTTTTTTTTGAGACAGGGTTTCACTATGTAGTTCAGGCTGGCTTTGAGCTTACTTTGTAGCCCAGGCTGGCCTTGAACTCACAGTGATCCTCTTCCCTCAGCCTCCCAAGTCCTGGGATTGTAGGCATGTGCCACTACGCCTGGCTAATCACCCATTTTTAAGGGATGTAAATCAAAGATAGGGCTCTATCCTCAAGGATAAATATTGTTAGCCAGGCGTAGTGGCACACACCTGGAATCCCAGCACTCAGGAGGCTGAGGCAGGATCGTTGCGAGTTCAAGGCCAGCCTGGGCTACAAAGTGAGCTCAAGGTCAGCCTGAACTCCATAGTGAGACCCTCTGTCTCAAAAAGATGAAAAAAAAGAATGAATGTTGTGTTAAAATATTCATGTAAATTCATATAAAGAACTAAAATGTAGGGGCTGGGGATTTAGCTCAGCGGCATAGCGCCTGCCTGGCAAGCACAAGGTCGTGAGTTCGATTCCTGGTACTGGGGAAAAAAAAGCAAAATAAAATAAAATAAAAAGAACTAAAAAATGTGGCATGATTATAACTTTACCTTTCCTTACATGAATCATGTGCATTCATTACAAAAATTTGAAAAAAAAAAAAAAAAAAAAGAAAAGCACAAAGAAGAAATTAAAAATCACTCGTACTTGAGATTGAATTTAGGGCTTCATACATGTTAGGCAAATGGTCTGAGCTATATCACCAGCATTTATGGGGGGACAGGGTCTCTCTCAGTTGCCTAGGCTGCCTTGGTGATCTTCCTATCATAGCTTCCCAAGTAACTGGGATTACAGGTTGTGCCTACCATCACTTTTAATATTGTAGTACAGCAGTGACGCACCTATGGCACAGGTACATGCTGCAGGCACAGTGGGCATGAGAGCCAAGTCACCCTAGAAGCCAAGCATTGGAGAGTAGTTGTTTTTTTCTAAATTAAAACCTCAGTATTGAAGTTTAATTGCAGTGTTGGCATTTTGTGATAAATAAATAGGCTTTGGGTTCTAGTTTGGGCACTGAGTCTGAAAGGTTCACCATCACAACTCTTTTTTTTTTGGTGGGTTTTTTTGTTTTGTTTTGTTTTGTTTTGGTGGGTTGTTTTTTTGTTTTGGTTTGGTTTGGTTTGGTTTTTCTCCGGTACCAGGAATCGAACTCACAACCTTGCTCTTGCCAGGCATGTGCTGCGCCGCTGAACTAAATCCCCAGCCCCAACCACCGTCACTACTGTAGTACTCTGTATGTCTTTCTAGTATTACAGATACATACATCACCCCTATGTACATACTCCAACAAAAAAAAAAAAAAGAAAAAACTCAAACTTTATTTCTTCTACCATACTTTAACAAAACAGATCATTTCTGACACCAGATTTTCCCCCCATACACCAAGCAAACAGTTCTAAAGAACTGAACACCAACTAGGTGTCCACTAATTCACTTCTGACACTGTCTACCTGGATATTGTGTCACATCCTACAGGTTGAAGGCTATATTCTCAAGACTGCCACCTACTCACTTTAGTTATCAGTCACAAGCTTCAAGCTGTTTGCTTATATTTCTGGAATTATGAATCAAGATTGCTGCAATCCCTACCTTGGGTTTAGTTAATTCACTCAGGTAATTCATAAAACTCAGGAAAGCACTTAGTTTTCTATAGCTCTTACAGATGAAGAGCTGGATAGGGTAAGGCATGTAGGAAGGGGTGATGGGGCTTGCACACCCTCTTCGGGCACACCACCCTCTAGAAATATCCGGGTGTTTTTTTGGAGACTTACTCTGTGACCATGCTTAAAGTATAGATAACCATGTAGAAATGTGATTTGATAAATGGTTGTGATCAAGCTAATAGATTTGTTGAGGCAACCCAGTAAGGCCTGTCTGTTCAGGGTTTTCTTGTCTCCTCTGCCCCATTGCTTCTTGAATATGCCGTAGGCCCTCTTCTGAAATATGGGGGTCTTACTTACTATCAGACAAGGGGAGGTCAGAAAATTCCATTTTGTCAGTTCCAATGATAGAAAGGTAGGAGAAGATTAAATCATGATCTACCATGTGTAGAGAAATTCTGGTTTCTATGGCTTGACTTGAGGAGGGACTTATAAGTGAGGAACTATGGACAGAAATCAAAATATATACATATCAGTATATATAGTGCTGAATGTGGTGATACACACCTATAATCCCAGTTACTCAAGAGGCTGAGGCAGGAGAATTGCAAGTTCAAGGTCAGCCTTGGCAACTTAGCAAGGCCCTGTTTCAAAATAAAAATTGTAAAACAGGGGCTGGGGATTTAGCTCAGCGGCAAAAGCGCCTGCCTGGCAAGCGCAAGGTCGTGAGTTCGGTTCCCGGTACCGGAGAAAAACCAAAAAACGTTTGAAAAAAAAAATTGTAAAACAGGGGTGCTGCTGGAGACATAGCTCAGTAGTAGAGCACTTGCCTTGCATGCATGAGGACAGGGTTCAATCCCTAGTACTGTTAAAAAATTTATGTGTCTATATGTACGCATTCATATGGACCGGTGGGCATATGTTGATATATGTTTGTAAAATTACAGTTTTTTTTTTATAAAATTGAGTTAACAGTATTGTATAAGCTTTTTACATGCTATAGTGTAGCACAGCATATTCCTTTATATTGTTTTATTTTTTACAGTGCTGGGATTGAACCAAGGGTCTCCATGTTCAGCAAGCACCGTACCAGTCCTAGCCCCCCTTTATCTTAAAAATTATCACATAGCATTCTGTTACCTAACTATACTATAATTTAACTGGGTGTGGTAGCAGACACCTGTAATCCATACACTCAAGAGGCTGAGGAAGGAGGATCATCTCAAATTCAAGGATAACCTGCACTACACAGCAAGACCCTGTCTCAAAAAACAAACCAACAAAAAATTAAATTCCTGAAAGTACAATTTCTCTGGGTTAAACAATGTAAGTGTATAGAGGTATTTTGTTTATAATGTCAGAATACCCTCAGGAAAGTTATACATAAATTTGTAGGATGCTTTTTGTGTGTATACGAGATGCTTTTGTGACGTAGGAAACTGCTTATTATATGTTAGAAAACTGCAAGATAAAGTCTCTATAAATACAGTAAAACTTTGACCATGTAAGAAAGGTATAGAGGGGCTGGGGGTTTAGCTCAGCGGCACAGCGCCTGCCTGGCAAGTGCAAGGTTGTGAGTTCTATTCCTGGTACCAGGAAAAAAAAAGAAAAAAGACAGGTACAGGTTGGGCTAGGGATATGGGTCAGACTAAGTGATAAAGTGCTTGCCTAGCATGGGTGAGGTTCTAGCACCAGTCCCCAAAATCACAAGAAAAGAAAGGTATGGGAGGGTTTGAGATGTAGCTGAGAGATAAGGCAAGGCCCGCCCTGGGTTTAAACTCTAGCAGCTTGATAAAAAAAAGTGTAGCACAGAGGATGTTCTGGAGTGTTAGAAATGTTCTGTCTTCATTGGAGTGGTGATGCTATGATTATATTTCTCAAAATTCCTTGAATTGTACATACAAGATCTGTGCATTTAAGTGCTTCTAAATTTTATCTAAATTTTTGCAGAAAATATAAACATGAATGTCTACTCAACATCATTCTTGCTAAGAGAAAATGAAACTTTCATTTTCTTAAGAAAACTTTCATTTTCTTATTCATAGAATAAGTAGGAAATACATCAAAATTTTGTGATGTTTTATTGTGGTTGGTGGAATTCTGAATAGCATGTTCTCCAAATTTCTCAAATCTTCTACAGTCTGGGAGGCTGAAGCATCATATTCAAAAGTGCAGTAACCTGAAAGGGTATTTATGTGTAAAATATGATGTTGATTATTACTTCATAGCAAAAAAGCAGTGTTATAAAAAAGATAATAATAATAAAATAATAAAAATAAAAATGATAATAAAAAGTTAGGGAGAGGGGTAAGCATAGTGATATAATCTCAGCACTCTGGAGCCTGAGGCAAAAGGATAGCCATGTGTTTAAGACCACCCTGGGCTACATGAGACCCTGTCTCCAAAAAAAGTTGAGAGGAAAGCTTGTCATTTCTGTTTCTGCTAAATTGATTTGAGGAAAGAGATGAGATGGCTCACTCTGGTTCTGCGATGCTGTGTTTTTGAACTCCCTCAGGAGAGCCACATTTTTACCCTGTTGCAAATTTTCAATATGAGAAAACATGGGACTGGGGATATGGCTCAGTGCTGGAATGCTTGCTGGCATACACAAGGCCCTGGGTTTCACCCCCAGGACCTCAAAAGAAAACAGAGCTTTCTGAAGTTGCTGTTTTCTTTTTTATGCTTTTGCTCTGTCCACAGAGAAGAAAGGAACCAGACGCAGGTGCTAAGACAACAGCAGGATGAGGCATATCTGGCCTCTCTCAGGGCTGACCAGGAGAAAGAAAGGAAGAAGCGGGAGGAGCGGGAGCGGAAGCGGCGGAAGGAGGAAGAGGTGCAGCAGCAGAAGCTGGCAGAGGAGAGACGGCGGCAGGTGATGGACTGTGCTTCTGTTCCCTGTGATTCCCAAACTGCTGAGACTTTGCCATCTGTGTCTTTTCTTAAATACAAAAGGAAAAAATCTATGTTGGGACTGTGAGTGATTAATTTTCTTCACCTTATTCATAGTGCCAGTGAAGCTGGTAGGTGTTCTATTTCATGATCTTGTTTCACTGTGTGTTACCACTCCACCTCAATGTCATTTAGCCATTCCTTTTTTTCTCAAATGGTTAAATACCTGGATATATTCAGTAAATAATACATGTGATGCAACAGAATTGTTTCTGGTGTCTTTGCAGCATGTTTTTCCTTATAGTAATTGTTCATTACATTTTCTTCTCAATGTACAAAAATAAACCTACATGGTCCTGTTCACCTGTTTGAGCCATAGCCTTATCTTTGCTTTGTGTCTCTACAGAACCTACAGGAAGAAAAGGAAAGGAAGTTGGAGTGCCTGCCTCCTGAGCCTTCCGCCGATGACCCTGAAAGTGTCAAGATCATTTTCAAATTACCCAATGATACCCGAGTAGAGAGACGGTTCCACTTCTCACAGTCTCTAACAGTAAGGATCACCTAAGTGGTTCATAGCATCTGGGCTATAGGTTTAGAGCCTTTTTATAAATTCTTGTGGTGCTGTTGGTGTCAGCGATGCTCTGATGAACAGGGAAGGAAGTGAGAGATGGGTGTGGCACCAAGAACAGTATATTGAATTGAGAGTTCCTTTAGTTTTGGCTGTCAGCTCAAAGCAGTTTTTAGGGTTTTCTTTCATCATGTTTGCATTCCACTAAGGGGGGGAAAATACCTTATAAAGAAGTCCCCCAAGAGCCTTGTTTATTCAAGGGTTGGCTTGCATGCTGTCTTCTACCATTGGCTTCAGAATCCCACCAGAACCGTTTGGTTTGTAGAGAAAGCTCCCCAGTAACCTAGAAGCACTGAATTATATATTTGAATATAAGTGAAGTACAATCTGGATTTCTCCCTTACTACCTGCTTAGCACATAAAAAGCCCACTTCCTTAGGCTACCTTGTGTGTTTGAGATTCTTATAACACTGCCATTTCCACAGAAAAATAGTTACAACCAGAGACTCTTAGGACCAAATTCTCATTCTTCCAGGGTTGCTGGATCTATTTCCTTGGTCAGTTTACTTAAACTCAGTGCCTCAATTTTTTTATCTGTAAAATTAATATAATGGGCCAGGTGTGGTGGCACATACTTATAATCCCAGCACTCAGGAGGCTGAAGCAAGAAGATTGCTACAAGTTCAAGGTCAGCATGGGCTACGTAGTGAGTCCAAGACCAACCTCAACTGCACAGTAAGACCTGTCTCAAAGGAAAAAAAAATTTAGTACAATAGTAGGCACTTGGTGCTAGGACTTGTAGCTCAGTGCTTGCTTAGCATGTGCAAGGCACAGGGTTCAATCTCGAGCACCACCAAATAATAGATACACCCTAATAGGGTTGTTGTTAGATTAAATTCATATAAAGTGTTACAGTGTACCTGGCTCATAACATAAGCACTCAGATGCTCTTAGTTTGGTATTTATAACCAAAAGAACAATTGTGTTTATATTAAGAGTTGGTATGTTGTTTTCCCAAATTGATAACTATGTAGATTCTTTGATCACAAGAAATAATCCAGAGGAAATGTCGCAATAAAAATGAGTGTGCACTGTTGTCAAATGAGGCTAGGTAGCAGTTATTGCTTTTCTTTGTTTAACTGAAGAATATTGGACACATTATAGAATCATTTGCCAGATCTCATATTTCCCATCTACAAAATGAAAATACAGTATGCCCTACAGTGGTGGTACTGAACCTGTGCTGCAGTGGGCTGTTTGTATCATTGAAAGCTCTAAAAGGTTCACCATCACTGCTGTATAGTAACTTCTAAACTGAGGGTATGTCATGTTCTGAGCTAGACACAAGTTAGGGATTCTACAAATGAGTGAGACTTGGTTTTGGAAATTCATGGAACTTACTGGCCAGTAGAGAATATAAGACTCAGAGAACTAATGCAGAATAAAAGTTGAGTCATCCTGGTAAAAGAGAGAAATAGCTTCTTTATTTTGTCTCTCATAGGTAAGTGTTCATATCTCTTAATTTTGGATTTTTAAAGAGGGATTTTGTGTGTGTGTGTGTGTGTGTGTATGTATGTTTTGGGGATCAAACAAGATCTTCTACATGTTAAGTAAACATTTTACCAATCAACTACACCTCCAGCTCCTGGGTTTTTAATTGGGATAATATGAGTATACTCAGAGAGTATGTAGCATGTAGCAGGTGGTTACTAAATGTTAATTTTCTTCTGGTTTCCACCGTGTTTGCTAACTACAGGTTTGCATGTGGATTTTAACTTGCATGTTCACTAGCAATTTCAGTGTTTGTGCACCTTAGCTCTGTGTAGTTCCATGGAGTTTCTACCCTCAAAATTCTGATAGATACAACCCTATGTAAAAAACCTGTACAAAACTTACTCTCCTGATAGTTTTGGAGGAAGACGCTATTAGAATTGTTGTACAGAATAAGAATAGGCATGTGGTCAGAGGGGAACCAGCTCTCTTATCTTTTTAATTTTTAAAGATTTTAGCCAGGTGTGGTGGCACACGCCTGTAATCCCAGCACTCGGGAGGCTGAGGCAAGAGGATCGGTGTGAGTTCAAGACCACCTGGGCTACAAAGTGAGCTCAAGGTCAGCCTGAACGGCATAGTGAGACCGTCTCAAACATACATACACACACACACACACACACACACACACACACACAAATTAAAGATTTTGAAATAGATTCCTCACTAAAAGCTGTTTTTTGTTTTTGAAAGGAACACCATGACCACCTACTTCTGAGAGAAATGGTGGCTCATAAATGGGGCTTGGAGAGGGGAAACAGTTGTAAAGGAGAAGTGTTAGCAGTGTACATTCTGAAATCTCCTCTTGCCTCACTTCTCACTTAAGAATTTACCTGTGTCAGTCAGGCATGATGGCACACACTTGTAATCCCAGCACTTGGGAGACTGAGGTAGGAGCATCACTGCAAGTTCAAGGCCAGCTGGGGTTACATAGTAAGACCTGGTCTCAAAAAGCCAAAGTGAAGCATAATGCACACCTGCCATCCTAGCACTTGGGAGGCTGAGGCAGAAAGATCACTGAGAGTTTGAGGCCTGCTTAGGCTATGAAGTAAGTTTAAGGCCAGTCTGAACTACATAGCAAGACCCTGTCTCAAAAAAAAAAAAAAAAAATTACCTGTGCCTCATCAGAGCAAGAGCAAGGTGAGGAAGGGTTTCCCACAGACAGGAGATCTGTGTAAGGATGACAGATCCTAAGCAAGTTAAATGTCTGCATATTGGGGAATCCAGTGCAGGAACACCCATACCAGGTTAGGTATCAAGGCCAAACAGAGCAAGGAAGGTATAGACATAGAAGGGAAGGGATTTACATGGGAGAGGGAGATGAAGTCATGGTTTTATGCACACACATACCACATAACATATTTTTGATACAGAGTATCTATAAGCAGTAGCTGCCCAATTTCAGTGAGCAGGCTGGGGATTTAGCTCAGTGGCAAAGCGCCTGCCTGGCAAGTGCAAGGTCGTGAGTTCGGTTCCCGGTACCAGAGAAAAACCAAAAAAAAAAAAAAAAAACCAATTTCAGTGAGCATCTAGCATATAGATCTTGGCTTTGGCACGTGAGTGTGTGTGTATGTGTTTGTTTTGAGACAGGATCTTGTTATGTAGTCTAGGCTTCCCTTGAACTCACTGTAAAGCTCAGGGTGGCCTCAAACTCAGTGATCCTCCTGCCTCAGCCTCCTGAGTGCTGGGATGACAGGTGTATACCGCCACATCCAGCTGTGAGTATTTCTAAGAAAAAATTTTAGTTTTATATCATACCAGTTATCAAAGAAGAAGCAGATGAGTCAGTTTAGAGTAGGACTAGTGTTGGGCTGATATAATTTCTTTGATGGGGCTGCCTCACATACTGTATTTGTCCTGGGAAATGGAAACTCTCGAGGTAGAATTCCAGGGTGCTATGATTGCTTCATGGCTCCCAATCATCCTGGGGAGAGTTGGGGTACATTTGACTTAAAGTGCTGTATGTATGTCTTTTCTCACTGCTGTTCTTTTTCTGTGTGACCTTTTCAGGTAATCCATGACTTCTTATTCTCCTTGAAAGAAAGCCCTGAAAAATTTCAGATTGAAGCCAACTTTCCCAGGCGGGTACTGCCCTGTGTTCCCTCAGAGGAATGGCCCAACCCCCCTACGCTGCAGGAGGCAGGAATCAGCCACACAGAAGTTCTCTTTGTCCAGGACCTAACAGACGAATGACACTTTTTCTTCCTCTCCCCTCCCACACCCCAGTCCCTAAAAGAAATGGAAAAAACAAAAACAGAAAACAAACAAAAAAAGAGATATTCATATTATTATTATAATACAATATTTTTTTTAAAAGACTGCTGCATCCTAAGGAAGGATCAGAAACCACGCTGCCTGCAAGAGAGACAACCTGTGTGAGTGCAAGGCCAGCAGTGAAAGTCCCCGCTCCACCTCTCCCTCTAGCTTCCTTACCATGCGCCTTCCAGCGGACGGAGACTTCACCTCCCGCCCATCCACTGTTCCAGCTGGGTAGGGGACATTCCCACTAGTTTTATTCATTCTTACTTTTATGGAAAATAAAAGTGAAAAACCTCTGTCAACCAGCTACAGCTACATCTCCTGAGGACTTCCTTCTCCCACCTCTTGAAAAGAGGGGGAAGAGAAAGCACAGAACAGAGATGTTCCTTGAACTGCCCTATGAATAATTTTAATTGTTCCTGTTGCTTTGTAATGACCAAAGGAATGAGGCTGACATAGGTGTATTTTTTTTCCTTAACTTTATCTCATAAAGAGCCAATTCCTAAACCCATGAGTTTATGCCATGGGCTCCTTAGCCCACAATAGTGTAATAAAGGTGCCCAGGCTGGTTTGTGCTTATTTCTGCCATTGCCCCTCTCGTGTCCACAGAGAGGTTACGTTGGTCCAACTCTTGCTGTCTTCTCTTACCCCCGTGCACCCCACTCGGACCAGTGGAAGGAAAGCTGAGTTTTAGCCTCTGCAAGGCGGTGTGCACAGATAATACTTTCGTACATGGTGGATATTCACCTTTACACACAACTGTAGTTTTCCTTAGAACTGCACTAGGTGACGGTGCAGGGGTTGGAACCAAAGGATAGCACCTCTTCATTCCTCCTCTGACTTGTGCATGCTGTGCAGCTTCCCCAACTGCCAAGCTTGCTGCCTTTGCAGAGTGCTAGCAGGACCAGCAATGGAGCCGGCAGAGCCATGTAAGAATACCCTCTCTGCCTTTCTTAGTCACTGTGTTTTAAGAAGCATTTTCTTCCTTTTGCCCTGTTCCTGTATTGAAGTAATGCTATGTTCTTTTTTAAATTTTTTTCACCTCAATGTCTGGTCTGTGGTTGAGTTTATGGTAATACATGCATACATGACTCAGGTCATGTATTAACAGGTGCCAGTGTGTGCTTATTCCAAAGAGTGCCATAGTGAGACTGGCACAGGGCTCACGTTCTGCAGCCTTTGGAAGTCACTGTAGCTGCTACCGTGCTGTGAAGGTAAGGGGATTCAGGTCATGATAAAGCATAACTTGCTAGATTTGTCACCTCCAGAGGATCTCTCTTGTTTAAAACGTAAAGACCACTCTGGCAGCAGTAACATGCTTACTGCCCTCTGCAGCCTCAGTTGTTGTCAGGTAGATACCATGTGGCAGAGGGAGGCACTTCATGAATATGACCTGATCTAGGGAGGCTGAGAATTTCCCGGTGGTTTACAACACCGTCCCTAGGAAAAGTTAGTTCTGTACCTGGCTGTGTGTGGTTCTTGGTTTTCTGCTGTGCCAAGGCTAACTGGGTGGGAAATGACACCTCACTGTCATCATAAAATGTGTCAAATGAACTCCATGTAAACCATGTTCTCCACTCAACCCTAAATGACTGCCACACAAGGAGAATGTTTCCCCTTCGGCCTCCCCACTTGTAGTTCACAGCTGTTGCCCTGGCGGCACGTTCAACAGGCTGGGCATACTGAGTGTCTGGCCCAGACACCCTTGAGGACATTGTGGTTTTTGCCCCCTTCATAACTCAGTCTCCTTATATATTGTGCACTTTATACTTCTTGCCTTTTGATACCTGTTTTCAGCAAAGGAGTCAGACACAGGAACAGTAAGACAAGGCCCTTTTATTTGTCAGTACAACTCTTGGGACAGCCTGCCTGTCTACTGTAGGGTTCAAGGGGTTTCAGCTGAAGTGCATGCCCCTCTCTAGGCCTTTTGAAATAATCTGCTTAAATTAGATCCTTGCTTGTCTCATTGCTGCCCCTAGTGCTGCTGGCTGGGTGCCATTTCCTTCCTCCTAGGTGTAATATGGGTGAGCGTTTTGTCACTTAATGCCAGTACAATCTGTGTTACTCCTAAGGACCTCTAGGAGCTCAACGGGACCTGCAAAGGAGAAAAAAAAAAAAGACGCTGAGGGAAAAAAAAAAGACGCTGAGAACCGGTGGTCTGCAAGCATTCGCTTTTGTTTCCAGATCGCCTCTGAGATTCTTCAGCTGTTGTTTCCAAATGGCAAGTCATCAACAAAAACACTTGTTTCAAGTTTTGTTCTGCACTCCCAAGACTGAAGTTGTAGAGTCAGCTGAATAACCATGGGAAATGACCAAGCAGAGACACCCAATTGGGTCAGTTGAATTTTTGCAGCCTCAGTGGGACCTTTCTGGTCTTTTCTTTCACTTCTGCAGAATTTCCTGCAGTAAATATTTCTTTCTCCTTGCTTGCTCCACCATGAGTTACGGAGAAGAGATGGCTGGAGCAGAATCTCTGTAAACAACTAAGAACCTAGAATCTTCAACTGAGCAGTTATTACGAACATTGCTAATGGTGCCAAGGCCCAGGAAACAGTTTCAGGAAATGACTGAGAAAGAGTGATAGCCCCAGGATGCAAAATCAGGGGAGTATTATCACCTGGTGCTTGAACAAGGAGCTCCATCATAAAGGTTTTTGTAGGACTCGTGAGGAATGCAGCAACAAGGAAAATCCATCCACAAAGGATGCAGTGCCCCAACTTGTACTGCACCCGAATAGTTACGTGATAATTTCCTGAAGAAATCTAGTGTACTTAAAATTTTTTTCATAAAGGTTTACATTGTATTGTAGGTTAACATTAAATGTTTTATAACAAAAATTTCACAACCAGCTCTGGGTCTTTCTGTCTAGGAGAAGGTGTGACAGATACTTTCCTGTGTGTAGAGGAAAGGTTGGAAAAGATGGAGGGAGGGAAGAGGTCATTGCATTGCTATGAAGCAGGAGAGACATAGAAGCAAGGAATTAAAATACATCTTCCATATTGTGTTCCTGTGAGAGCAACTCAGGCTGAATGATGCAGTAGAAAGAGCAAGCAGATCTGAGGTCAAATTATGGCTGTCATTTGTCAGCTTTGCAACCTCAAGCAAGTTCTCTAGCTGCTGTGAGCTTTACTTTCCCCAACTGTAAATGAAGCTAATGCCATCTGCCTTGGGTAGGTTTGAAGAATGAAGCAAATTGCATATGGAAGTCAGCATTTGGGAGACACAGGCAGGAAGGCCCGGGAGTTCAAGGCCTACTTGGGCTA